AAGTTGTCCTTTTCTAGATTTTGAAATTTCAATTTCTAAAGGCAAACTCCATACTAAAATTTACGACAAAAGAGACGATTTTTTATTCCCTATTATTTATTTTTCTTTTTTAGGCGGCGATGTTCCTTTGGCTCCATCATACGGTGTTAATATATCCCAACTCGTTCGTAATGTCCGTGTGTGTAGTGATGTCATAGACGTTAACGAATGTAATCAATGCATCACTGGTAAATTATTAAGTCAGGGATTTCGTTACCATAAATTACTTAAAACATTTACTAAATTCTTTCATAGATACAAAGATTTGATTAGTAAATCTGGCTGTACCTTTAAAAAAATTATTAAAAACGGTATTTCACATCCTAAATTTTACGGTAATATTGTAATAAAAGCGCGGAAATCACTATGTGATCCGTGTAAACTCATCGAACCTTTAAACTCATCGAACCTTTAAACAAACTTATTAGTGAAGGTTATCTTATTAATGTTGTAATAAGATCTTTGAATATTGTTTACATTGGCACTAACATCGATTTTGTCGTCAACAAATTAAAACATAACTAAATTTGTATTCTTTTCGAATGTTTTTTTTTTTAGATGTATAAAAACTCATCCACGTTAATTTTTCTATTTAGAGATTGCTTTATCTAATTATAACATGAAAATATTTATTATAAGGTTAAATCCTAACTATCCTACTGCCTGTCGATACTTGTATTTTGCATTGCACAAGTCATGTCTTCTTTTACTACCCATGACGTTAAAACACTTAATCCCTGGGATGTGTTTTAATTGATTTTAGTCTCTGATGCATGATGTTTTATTGTTAACTGTTTTTAGCTTTTATCTAGCTTTCAGTAACTGTGAGTACTCTCAAATCGTACTTTCGTGTTAATTTGACCTGTTGACACAATTTGTAATGCATTTCTGTAATTCAATGTTTACTTATTTTGTGTTATATCTCGTCTCACTATTTTTAATATGTAAAAGAATTTAGTATGACGATAAATTTTCACTTCTGTACTCGTACTCTGAACAACAAATTTATTAATTTTGTAAAAAAATGTTTACTTCCGTACTCCTAAAGACAAAACTAATATATTTAAATTAACCTAGTACGTTGTTTTATTAAACGCCATTTTGTTCCTACATCTTTTTTATTACTACCTGTAACGTCTATGTTAAAAAGGCACCTACGTTTTAATATTGTATTTATATTGTGTCATAGATCAGACTTTGATTGAGAGTTGTCTCATTGGCACTCATACCACATCTTCTTATTTATAATGATTAAAGTTTTCAGCTCGTGAAGATTATTTCGCCATCAATATGATACAACTACGAGACTCAATAGTTTTACATCCCCAGAATATCATATATATATATATATATATATATATATACGTGTAAATACACTGTATGCGTTTAAAAGCACCATTGTCATTTTAACATTATCATAAGTTTTCCAGTGTTTCGAATCGTATATCGTATTGCCATTATATCGTATTTGGTTTTTTTTTTTTTTTTTGGAGGGGGGTGGGGGGGGGGGGGGGTGGGGGATGGGAGGGTGGACTGACAACAACTTCAATATAGACATAGTTCGTGATGCCCACGCTTGTATTTCTCTTTCTGGTATCAGGGGGTAAAGACGAGAGAAGTAGATTTTTGCTAGTTTTTTTTCGATTTTTTTTGGCATAATTCATGAATCAATTTTTACATATAAGTTTGCATTGCAAAATTTCTAATCTAACCATAGTCTAGTAATAACAGTCTATTCTGTTGGGAACGTAGCCCTCGTTGGGCCTGAGTGAAATCCGTACGTACATTGAGGCGACGGGATTAAATCTTAGATGTAACTATTCCCTATTCTCTCCTAGTAATGTTGTAAGATATACGGGAGATGGTTGAAATTTAAAAAAAACAAACTTTAGTTTAACCCCATTACATTTCATTTTCTTAAACGTGTCTGTGTCCCACGTCAGTGAGGAACGTTGTCGTTATTGGTCGTATGTTATATCGCCATGCCTCCCCCGCTTATTTAGAGAATTGAGTGTTAATAGCAGATCTTTAGTTGTTTCTGTTGAATTTAATTATATCTGTCATGGAATCGAGACATATTGTGTATGTGTAGTCACCTATCTATTTGTCGAAGATTGTATGTATGTATCAAGATTTTTTTTTTATTTATTTCTGTCGTCGGGCTGCTGTTCCATTGACGTATAATTACCATCTGATTCTACTTCTATTTCACCAAGTGTAAATGCAACAACATAAATATTCATTGAAAGAAGGGGGAAATGTAGAAAAAAAATATTATTTTGTTGTCGAAATGTACACCTGCTTTGTCCACTCATTTACATCGCTCCCCCAATCAAATATACAGAGGAAGATCTTTTAAGGAAACATTGCAAAAATGTTTTCTCTAAGAATTGAAGGAATATGTTTAGTGGATGTAATATCTTATACACTATACTCTTATATAGTGAATTGAATAATTGTACACAGCAAACTGAAACAGAAGAAAATTTAACTTAACATTTAAAATGTTTATTTTATTTAATCTGCAAATATGAACACAATATTAAGAACACCACAAATGGTATGATATCCAAATCGGTTGGTTATTAATGTATTGCAATGAAACAATTACAAAGAAAAGCAAAAAAAGTTTGCTACAAAAAATATTTTATGAATCAAAATTAAAATTCATATAAGGTCTGTACAATACCTAGACCTAACAGTCAGGCTATTAATCTTTTATATAAATATATACACTTATAGGGAAACTTCGCAAAAAAAATTAAAAAATAATATTATGCTTATTCGTAAAAAAAAAATGCACACAATCATTAATATTAACGTTTTATTCTCCTGGATAAGTGATCAAAATAGATTTTTAAATCCGACTATTAATGTTCTACATGACGCCATCTTGACAGCATATCGATACAAATTACCACGTGATATCTTAATACTACAAAGTCCAAAAAAAGCATTACAAACCAAAGTTTCATTCAGTGTCAAAATGATGTGTATAGGTTATAGTAAAACTTCTTTTATTCATTCTGGGTTCATCCCTTCTTTGATAAATCGGCATGGCTTAATGAATTATTGTAATAGCTATAAAAAGTATTTATAATTTATTCTATTATTGAGATAAACATCGGCATTTTGTTAAAACAAATCTTTTGGTGACTTATAAAAGACGGACGCGTTACAAGTTCAATACACAAAGATTCGAAATAATATTTAATTTTATTTTGTCTTTTGTTTTCGGTTTCTTTCGATTAGGCAAATTTGACCTCAGATAGTTTCTCAATTTATTTACGTCCGTAGGTTATATAAATCAAGATTTTAGATATACAAGGCTTCTGATGAAGTAAGTGAAAAGCGCTTCGGATGCTCCAAATTATAAAAGTGATTTTTTTTAAACTTTTCTAAACACTTTAAATTGTTAATTTCTTAGTTCGTATACGTTATTTTTTCATTTTATTTTTAAATCAATAAATTATTTCAAATCAACCTTTTCTTATCATTATTATAATAACACTTTATTCATCGTTCAGGTATGTGAAAAACATGTTTAATGTCTTATTTATTTGCAATGGAGCGTACTGAAATGATAATGAAATATCCCCCGGTGATCTATACCACCTCCCCCCTTTCCCCCAAAAAATATATTAAAATATTTTTGTAATCTTTGTGTATTAAACTGGCACTTCTGTCTTATAATCCATCCGAGATGTTATTCACACCTGGTACGGCGGATTCTTAAGGCTAAAATGCACTCATTGATTACATGTAAATTTCAAACGAATAGATTTTTCAGACAGTCGATCTTTCTCGAGAGAATAATACACATATTTACACAATCCAAGAGAGGAAATGTCAGAAAGCGTACATATATTGTCACCGCAGTATCAGTTATATTTGCTTGTTTAACATATATAAATATAATCTTACTTTCCAAAAATATTCTATAATGGCAACACCATATCCTTAAGCATATACCTTTCTGTGTAGAATTGCTGTCAATGGAAAAGTATTTAAAATGTTACACTTGTTTTCAAATTTTGCATCGAAGTGCATCCATAGCTTATATGAATTAATTTGAATCCGATACATATTTTCGATCTATTTTTGGTTTTGGTGTTTTGGTTAAGAATGTCCTTCTCAATCATGTTTCATAAATACTAGAAATTAGCCAAACTTTCATAATGATTGCAGTTTTCAACAATTAATTTCTTAACATGACGACGAATTGGTATTAACTTTTCTTAACGTGATATGAATATTAAACAGTCTCCGGGACAAGTTTGCACTTCCGCTGAGTGCAAAAGTTGTCACCTTAATTTTTGGAGTTAAGTCAAAATGAAGTTGATAACTTGGTTGGTATTGGTTCCCTGATATTTGTCCTAAAAAATTTTGGCTCTAGCACCACTGTTGAAAAAGTTATGCCTCTTTTTTCAACAATTTCCTCAGAGGAAAAGTAGTTTTCCTCAAGGGAAATCAAATTTCCCTAAAGGAAAAATATTTTTCCTCAAGGGAAATTGTATTTTCCTCAAAGGAAAAAGATTTCCCTTAGGGAATTTGCTGCATTAATATTTCCTTTGAGGAAATTCTATTTCCTGTGAGGAAATTTGCGGCTTCAAATTTTCCTTTGAGGAAATTCTATTTCCTCCGAGGAAATTTGAGGCTTCAAATTTTCCTCTGAGGAAATACTTTTTCCTGTGAGGAAATTTGCGGCTTCAAATTTTCCTTTGAGGAAATACTTTTTCCTGTGAGGAAATTTTGTCAACAGCTATTTCCTGTGAGGAAATTTTTGACAGACACTTTTCCTTGAGGGAAAATTCAAGACCACAAATTTCCTCTAAGGAAAACATTGTTCTCCAAATTTCCTCTATGGAAATTTCTGTTATTCAATTTTCCTCTATGAAAATTTCAAAACAGTAAAAACAGTATGAATATAATTTTTCTGAGACTGAATAATTGATACAAAAGATAATTAAAACTTTAATAAAATGTTCACTGATGAGTAACATGACATACAAAAACAATAGGCTAGCTGTTTGAGACAATACAATAATAAGCAAAACGCTATGAATATCATACTATTTGTGATGTTATTAATATTGTGCTCATATTTGCAGATTAAATAAATAACCACTTTTCATGTTAATTTAACTTTTTCTTCTGTTTAGGCTGCTGCGTACAATTATTCAATCCCCTACATAACAGTTCAGTGAATAAATAATTACATCCACCAGACATCTTCCTTCAATTGGTAAAGAATACATTTTTGCAATTTGTTCTTCAAACGTCTTCCTCTGTATATTTGATATGACAGAGCTATGTACATGAATGGATAAAGCAGGTGTTTATTTCGACAACAAAATACTATTTTTTCTACATTTCTCCATAATCCTTCAGTGAATATGTAGGTTGTTGCAATTACACAATTGTGTTCTTGTGCATCTATGATTGTACTCCATTTTGTTTACAGCCATTTTGTAGAAATTTCCTATTTTCTTTTTCCAGGTAAGCACACATTTCATTTCACATTAATCCAATTAGCACACAATGTAGAAAACTATTAACCTTAAGTTTCCTCTTCTGTATTGACCTGTTGATGATCATGAAAACCAAGAAGTCTCACCTATAAATACACAAAAAAATAAATTGAGAAAAAAACAGCAATATGAAATAAGCTTATTTTATCATGTTTAATATGAACATTTTGAGAAACTTAAATTTGATATTCTTATTAATCATGATTATGAGTTCTGTTTTCAGTGCTTTGTGTCCACGACTTAATGCCTTGCAGTGATAATGAGTTGAGCCACTTGCAACAGTTTTTACAGTTTGTTCATATGATGTGCTATTTGAACCACTGTCCTAGATTATGGTTAGGTGGAGTGCTCACAGACATGATTTTTTTATTAATTGTTATTGGCTTTGAACTTATTTGGATTGTTTAAATCTTTTCAGTTATGGGTTTTCTCATTATCGAAGGCCGTCATTGGTTTTTAATTGCTTGCATCCACTTCTTTGAACTCTGGTGGATAGATAACTCACATACCACATCTTCTTATTTTTATAATAGTCATCATTCAAGGGCAATCACTTTTATTATATAGAAGTGGTCTTACCATTTAGGCCTTGTTGTCTTCTGTTTATGTTGTTTTGCCGATCATTTCTACTGTACAGTTGTCATGGTTGTAATTGTTTATATTTTTCTTTATCTTCTATATTTCTTGCCCTAAACTCAAAAAAGGTAAAAACTATAATTTAATGACTATAACTATTATTGTACATCAGTATGTGTTTTTCTATATACCATGATATATAAAAAAGGAATGAAATATTTGTGCTATTTCATTTCACAGACTATTTGCCAGTCAACAGTTTCAAAGACATAACCACGGTCAATAGTTTAACAAACAAACATTCCCGTACTTTTTCATCGTGTTCATACTAATTTTTCAATGGACAACAATGACGTGATTAACTATTCTTCTATGATGTGTGTGCTTGACAACATTAAACTCTGAAATATTGTTAACGGTATAATCTGTATGTGTCTGTCGTCAAAATTTCAAATTAATAAATTGTGTTGTAAAATGCTTGTAATTAATAAATTACTTACAGAAGCAATTAAAACAAGAGGCTCACAAAATGAATGGGATCTAAGAACTTAAAAATTTCTAATTTACCTATTCAAACCATATCATTATTATTTGCTTTTATATATAAATCATTCAGAAATAACTAAATTTTAAAGAAAACAAAAGGAAAAAAAGGAAAAAAAATCCCCCCCAAAATGTTTTGAACCCCCTTATGATTCATCACCCCCAAACTCAATCCCAGCCTTCCCTATGTGGTAAGGTACCTTGCTGTACAATTTTAGAGAGATCCATACACTTGAACACAAATTATTGTCTGGAAACTAGAAAAATGCTTGTTTTTTGGCCCCAAATTCCTTAACATTTAGGGCAATTACCCCCAAACTCAATCCCAGCTTTCCCTTTGTGATATGGAACCAAGTAGTACAATTTCATAAAGATCCATACACTTACACACAAATTATTGTCCTAAAACTAGAAAAATGCTTGTTTTTTGGCCCCAAATTCCTTAACATTTAGGGCAATTACCCCCAAACTCAATCCCAGCTTTCCCTTTGTGATATGGAACCAAGTAGTACAATTTCATAAAGATCCATACACTTACACACAAATTATTGTCCTAAAACTAGAAAAATGCTTGTTTTTGTCCCTTTTTGCCCATAATTCCTAAAATTTTGAGGCAATTATCCCCAAAATCAATCCCAGCCTTCCCTTTGTGGTATGGTACCTTGCAGTACAATTTCAGAGAGATCCATACACTTGAACACAAGTTATTGTCTGGAAACTAGAAAAATGCTTATTTTTGGCCCCTTATTCCTCAACATTGTGGGCAATTACCCCCAAAATCAATTCCAGCTTTCCCTTTGTGATATGGAACCTTGTAGTACAATTTCAGAAAGATCCATACACTTACACACAAGTTATTGTCATGAAACTAGAAAAATGCTTGTTTTTTGCCCCTTTTTTAGCCCCCAATTCCTAAAATTTTGAGGCAATTACCCCCAAAATCAATCCCAGCATTCCCTTTGTGATATGGAACCTTGTGGTACAGTGTCAGAGTGATCCATACACTAACACACAAGTTATGTCAGGAAGTTACAAAAATGCTTATTTTTGGCCCCTTATTCCTTAACGGTTGGTACCATAACTCCCAAAATCAATCCCAACCTTCCTTTTGTGATATTGAACCTTAAGGTAAAATTTCATAGAGATCCATTTACTTAAACTAAAGTTAGAGTGCGAAAACCAATGTGTCTTTGGACGACGACGCCAACGTCAAACCAATATTTTGACAGAAAAATTTTTTTGCGGTCCTATAACAAATGTATAAATACTGCAAAGTTTCCTTAAAATTACCAATCTAGTGGCAGCAACCCAACAATGGATTGTTAGATTCATCTGAAAATTTAATGACTGATAGAACTTGAAATAATGAACAATTTTACCTCACATAAGATTTGCTCTAAATGCTTTAGTGTTAGAGATATAAGCCAAAAACTGACAATTTTATGTTTAAAGGGTCTATAATTTAGATTGACAACTTCAGACATACTAATATTTGACCTTTTCAAACTATACATTACCAAATCACTACTTAAGGATGTTCGCTACTCTGTTTCAAAATAACAAGCTTTTTAAAAGACTGTTATAAATTGAAAGTATATGAATAAAGGAACTAAAAAAACAGAAAAATGAAGGGTCCGTGTGCTTGTTTTTAAGATATAAGCCATTAAAAATTTGGCGGGAGTGATTCTCTCCAGACTTTTCATACACTTAACACTGGCACCTTTTTCTTTCAAAAGCTATGGAAAAATAACAAGGATTTTATAAGATTTTCAAATATGGCTTTTTAAACTATATAATAAAAATATGAAGAGAAAAGTAGGGACAAAATTTTTTAATGGCACTGCATGGATAAAACCAGAGGATTCCGAATATCTGGTAAAAATTCAAAATCAAGAGGAGCGAACATCCTTAACCTAAAAAAAATGCCACATTTTTTCCAATGTAATTTTGAAGGAGTATGAAAATAATTTGCTATTTGCAAAACTTTACGACAAAAGAGATGATTTCAGCTTCCCAATTGTGAACTTTCCATTTCTATGTAGCAACATTCCAGCAGCGCCTGCATACGGAGTATATATCTCCCAATTGATACGATATTCCCGGGCTTGTGTTTCCTATCATGATTTCCTTGATAGAGGATTGCTGCTCACAAGGAAGCTATTAAACCAAGAGTTCCAAATGGTGAAGTTGAAGTCATCCCTTCGTAAATTTTACGGACGCCATCACGAGTTGGTTGACCGTTATGGAATAACCGTTTCACAGATGATATCGGATATGTTCCTTATGTCGTAACTACAATACCCTTCCCTTTTCACGAATGTGACTTACCGAATTAGACTATTTACCGGATTTGTAATAACATAAGCAACACGACGGGTGCCACATGTGGAGCAGGATCTGCTTACCCTTCCGGAGCACCTGAGATCACCCCCAGTTTTTGGTGGGGTTCGTGTTGCTTAGTCTTTAGTTTTCTATGTTGTGTCATCTGTACTATTATTTGTCTGTTTGTCTTTTTATTTAAGGCCATGACGTTGTCAGTTTGTTTTCGATCTATGAGTTTGACTATCCCTCTGGTATCTTTCGTCACCCTTTGCAAGTTATACACTATCCACACTATAGACCTAATAGAGCATGTAGTCAGAGTAGAAATACTAATTTTAATCAAACTTGGCATGAACTAAGATTAGGGAATTATAAGAGTTTACCTAGTTTCGTGGCAATAGCATATATACATTAAAGACTATAAGTTCATTCTTATATTTGAACTTTGGGTGTTAATTTTTTGCCGTTTAATGTTTAACATTTAACTATCAAGATTTGGGCCTACATAATTTAAATATTGCAAAAAACTGCTTTTAAAATGTCTTTAGAACTATTTATATATAATTGTGTATGTCACATGTATGTACATGATGTATTTTAATGTAAAGCAGCTGAATACTCATTTGCTGTCTCAGATTTATTTCAATTCTTCAAAAGTCGAATTTATATGAGCCTATGCCTGAAAAATAAAGATTTCAAATTAAGGGGGGGGGGGGGGGGGGGGAGGAGGCTAATATAAAAATTATTCATGTATACTTATAAAAATATTTGTATTTCAAAAGGAAAGAAAGTTACTTATCTGCTTATAGCATACCACATGAGTAGAACAAGGTCCCATATTAGGCCATGCAAGACTGAATAACATTTAAGGTCAATATAGGCAGTAACACATTTTTACATGTATATGAAAAGGCATACACATAACAATGCATAAGCTAGAGGAAATAAAAATGTGTTTCTTTTTGGTAATTTGTAGGCTAAGGTGACATCATACAAGAAGTATGAGTGATTCTCAAACTAAAATAAAATAATTTCATCCCCCTACTTCATTGTACAATTAGGTTTACTTTTTATGCATAAAAAATATGAATAAATAAATTTTGAAGTAATACATGGTCCACACTAAGGAATCTTTTTGTAAAAAATGAAAATCAATGGATGATAACTATGTACTTGGAATAACAGTTAAGATTTCACATGCTGAAATGTCTCGTCAGCCCAATCTCAGTCAGTGAAATAAATTATTGTTTGTTTTTTTTAAAGTGATATGGAAGTAGTCCAAATAATAATGACGCATTGCATGGCATTTTTTTTCTCTCTCTGACGCCGTAGGAAGTAGAAGTGAGTTGACATAACATGTATGTTATCATGCAAAATCAACAGTAATGAGTATACCTATGATTGTCATCGTCACTGCAAAAGGATCATTAATACCAGGGGGAAAGGAACCAATAAATTGATCGGATCCGATATGAAGTTCCCAGTAACGGAGAACCTCTAACCTGCTAACTTTGAGGTAATATTATTGAGTAGGTGGAAAGGGTATTGGGAGACAGGGAGAAAGGGGGCGGGAGAAAGGAGAGAGGGGGCGGGAGAAAGGAGACGAGGGACGGGAGAAAGGAGAAAGGTACCCCCCTTTCCATCCCCTCATTATTAGTGTCAACAGAGACATACAATACAATTGTATTATATGTCTCTGGTGTCGGTGGTCTCACAAATGAATCAGGGTGAATTGCAGGTTACATTAATTAGCAGAGAATCAACTTGTTATTCATTATCTCGCAGTTATTTACGGTTAATTAGCGGTATATATCCCAAAACAGGTGCTCGGAGCTAGTACTAGTCTATGACTAATAAGTAACAATTATATTTATATTCACAATCAGTGGCGGATCGAAGGAGGATGGGATCCGGGGGTTTGACTCCTCTTTTGGTGAACGATCAATGCATTTAATGGAGACATATATTTGGACCCCCTTTATCCTGGCTGGAATCGCCCCTGATATTACATGTAAATCAATTAAGTCCCGGGTTACTGTTAGCATTAATAGCATAACGGTAATCACAAAGAGTGTGGTAATTTTAAAAAGGACGAGGATTTATAAATATACAATTCTTGAAGGTAAACGGACAGAAAGTCACAGGACAAAAAGTCAGAGGACATAAAGTCACAAATTGGATAGGACAAAAAGTCACAGGACAAAAAGTCACAAATAATTTGTTGACAATTGTTTGAATATATAATAGAAAGATTTTCAAATAATTTCTTTTTTTTACATTTATTCATTTTTAAGTTTAGGAAATTGTTCATAAGCCTTGATAAATGAAAAATTATTAAATTTTAATCATGCAAATGATATATTTTTTGGAACCATGCAGCCATTTAAGTGCCAAACCACTTTGACATTTTGTTATCATAACAATTATTTGATCATCATTGATATTTATTGAATAAATTTTATTACAATGTTGCTTCATATATTATAGTTCAAGAAAAAATCAAAAATTTATTTTTAAAATCAGTGTTTTCTTGTTCAGAGAAAAATAATCTCAAAACTGAATTGTGACTTTTTGTCCTGTGACTTTTCGTCCGTGACTTTTTGTCCTGTGACTTTCTGTCCTGCATTCTTCTTGAAGAGGGGGGAGAGTGCACTTCACGATAATCGAAAAAAGTGCCTTGCACGTTATTTTCATCTTCTTGTCTGAAACAGTCTGAATAATGAGCTCCAAGGCGAAGCGTGAAAACAATAAGTCATGTGAAGTACTAATGACAAACACGTTGTACGGACAAACCCTTAAATCCCTCAATGTTATGTCAAATGAATTATAGCGAGGAAAGGTAAATTTAATCTAATATCAAAACTAAATATTTGTTATATTTCGCTCCTGATTTCTCAAGAAATCATAGAATCAATAAATGTATAAATTTTAATTATGCATGTCTGTGTGAGATCCATTTCATGAGACCAAGGATTTCTATAAAATCCTTGATGGGACCCTTTATATATACAGTTTTCTATTTTCTCCGGAAATTTTTTTTAAAAAATATAATCTTTTGGGAAATAATCCGATTTTGTTGAATTATTTCCCTTCATAATTACGATAAATCCTTTTAGTTCTTCAATTTTAAATTAAAATACATATTTCATTTTGATCTAACGACAAACTTTTTAAATTGTAGTGGCATGGTCAGTCAACTGATTAGTTGCATGGCTGATTACCAGTTTACGGGCGACCCAGTAATTTTCCATATAACAGTGGCCTGTACCCTTGGGGTGTGTATAACTTATTGTGAATACCTTAATTTTCTGAGGAACATCCTGTCCACGTGTAATACTTAGTATATATTGCAACAGATGACATTAAACAAATTTCTTTGTAGCATCGGTGTCCATTTCATGTTCAACCACTCGAAAATTTCACAAAAAAGATAATATAATAAAATCATTAAAAAAACACTAGCAAATAAACTTCGCAATGAGTAAACGGAGATTTGTGTTTTAAAGGGCTTATTTCCAGTGGATATATTTCATACTAGATAACTAGACCTGAGATAAACTTTTTTTTTGTAATATATATTTTATTATTTTCATATCATTCTCAAATCTCGATCATCTTAAATAAAGATGTACAAAAAATAATTTTGTTATAACTCATAAATATATGGTAAATCATAATTGTTACAAATTATAAAATGGTAAGTCAATGCCCGATGTGCCGCCGTCTGTTGCAAAACTACGATTTAATCTTTTAAATGAAAGACGTGCACTGCCTTCATCGGAACAGAGGAAAGTCCACCTAGTATCCGCTGAAAAAAAAGAGATCATCATAAACTTTTTAGCAGACCTTCTCGTGTAAAAAAAAACCAAACTTTTAACTGAATTAAACAAAAAATTATCAAACAAAACTCATTAGAACACTCATAGCAACATTTTGTTTAGACCTGAGATAACTTATAGTAAGATTATTTATATAGAACAATTAAAAAAAAATGTCCGATCTGATACACGTACCTATAATGTACAAAATTTTGTGAACAGCTTCAAATATATGGCCTTATCATTGGTAATATATCATATTTGTATCAGTTATTGCTGAACGTGTAAACAAATTAAAATGAAGAAATAGGCTCGAAACCGCATTTTTTAAAGATATTTTTTTCAATCCCCAAATATGTAATAGATATACAGATTAAAGTGCAGATGAGAAGATAAACTTTCTTTTCTACCGAAGTAAATATATTAACAAGGATTTAGGATATCAATAAATTATTAAATTCATCAATTTATTAAATTTAAACATGTGATCCAAAAATAAAAAAAATAACTGACGGGAAATTGGCTATACCTTTTTGGTATTAGCCATGAAGCTTCATGTATGTACCAGCCACTTTAACTTATTATTTTCTTAACCTTTAAACAATACATTTTAAAATGAACTACTTTATTTAAAGTAGTTCAAGAAAAATATATATATATATATATATATATTAGATAACTCTTTCCTTTATATTCAATGGAACAAGAAGCGAATTCGTTAGCGAACTAGAGTAACTATAGAAATAGCGTCGTTTCAGGTCTTCTTCTGACCGGCAATCATGTGAAAACCTTAGCAGTAATGAAAGTGGAACGTCCAGTGGGCTGTGCTCAGCCACGTCCGAATGGGGACGTTGAATTCTTGCAACAACTCTTCGAGTGGACTGTAAGTAGCCTGGTATTAGGCCAATTTTCTGTCCCTCCTTTTTCATAGGCAGTCGAAATTTTCCGACCGTATCACGGGCGGTCTCAATTACAAGACCTACATGTACCTATCATATATTATTCGGTACGTCAGACACACCCGACATTAATCAACCAAAAACTCAATATTTTACAGTAGGGAATGAATATCTCCCACGTTCTCTTGTCCCTTGAAGGATCAATATTGAATTTCTTCCAATCGCCCCCCCCCCCCCTTTTTTTATAAGATTACATTATGGCGTATGTTTTTTTTTTAATTTTACGAAAGACCAACAAATCGATTTTTATCACCAAATTTGTCTTTGCTGAGATTAACACTAAAAAAGTATAACAAAACGTAACGATTGAAAACTCACATGCAGTTCAGTTTTTAAGATATTTTTTTCTTTGGAAACTAACAGACTAATTTTCAAAAAGTTTTTTCTTTTTTCTTGAACCATTATTTATTAAAACGAATTTGTAGACAAAAGTTATTCTTAAATATTAATAATGATCAATGATTGTAAAGAAAAATCCATCATAGTAGTTTGTTAATTTACTGGATCCATGGTGTTAAACATGTCACCTTTCTTTTACAAATAACTGATTAAAAATATGAAGCCTTTACTGTAAAATAAATCATTCTAAAAAAATAAATTGATCCAGATTTTTCTCTCATAACCTTTAAACAGTTATTGTAAACTAATTTATTCGAACTATAATAGTCCTATGACTTGCTGTCCGTTTACCAATATTTATACTTTATTAAGTGTTTTCATATTCATTGATCATTAACTTCATGTTTTGCGAATATTTATAAGGGGGTAATTATTATAGCCAGTAATAGCTAACAATTTATCTAAAAAAAACGAGATGCTATATTCAAATTCTGAGATACGAATCTAGTTCTTTAAAAAAAAAAATTCTCAACAACAAAATTCTACACTTTCATCTATCTTGGTCTTTTTGTCTCCGCTTCGAAGCCGCCATCCCGTACCAAACATTTCTATTCGTTCGCCAATATACAATCATGTAAGTAATATACAACAGGCAGTAGATCTGGATTTGTAAATTGTTATTTTGGATTTTACCTGATTAGGACGTGTCTCGTTGAATTTTCTAATAAACTTACACACACATAATCTGACTTTAATCGTAATGTTATGAGATCTTATAAGAACATAGAGCTACTGTATATATAGGCCTAGTTGCATGCAAGTCTTTACAACTTATATATTTTGGTATGCTATAGTTTGTTTTTATAGACTATTTGTCATTTGGTCGGGGTTTTTTGTTGTTGTTGTTTTTAGTTTTTGACATGGCGTTGACTCGAGTTTGATATATTATGCATCTTTTGTGCTGTATTTTAACAATTATTTACAAGAATGCTGCATGTTTACACATTCATCACTATACCGCATCTAAATATAGCTTTATTGTAAAAAAAAAAATAAGGAGATGTAGTATGATTGGTGATGAGACAACTATCAACCAGAATTTAAAATACCTGATACAAGCAATTGTGACTTACTTTCTTTACTCAGAGTGATCGTGAATTAATCAGATAAGCTGGAGGAGGGTTTTTTTTTTTTTTTTGGGGGGGGGGGGGGCTTCATACTAAAAGAAACGAAATTAGCATTAGCTTTTTGTGATAAATATATAATAAACTCACAGTAACAGAAATAGCTCTTGAAAGTTCTCTCAGATCCCGGCATTTTTAACTGTTTTTGACGCGTGTTAAAAAAATCAGCACCTGGTTACAGGGGCTCATTTGACAAATTATCATCTTTCGTAATTTAAGTTATAAAATCTAAAATTAAAGTGATCTAAAATGTTCATGACTAACGAGTATTTTCACTTGTACGCTGTGAAATGAGTCTAAGAGTATATACATGTATATCGGGATACTGACTGCATAGTAAAATATTTATGTACCTATTAGTTGCGGCTCATTTTGGTCTTTTAAGTAAGTGTCCTTCCCCTGCATTACTTGATCGCTTTTGTAAAAAATAAACAGCACAACAACAGCACTCGACATCAGTATAATTTGTACCAAAAAATGAAGAAAATATTCAAAAAGAAGGCTCATAAAATTCAAATATTGGTAAGCACGCACACTAACTTGTCACTACGGACATGATCTTTTTGTTAATGCGCCAAACTCGTTTCTTCCACAGGACGATGTCGATGGTGTGGAAAATGACGTCTTGCAAGGCTATTTAGGCGTCCCAGAAAAAAAATTAAAATAGCCTTGCCAGACGTCATAATTATTTGGACTAGGGAAAACCCAACAAATCATTAGTTCCCCAAATGAGTATCCTAGTTGAAAGTTTTTTTTAATATGATATAGCTATTTCATATTGGAATGGCACATATTCATGAAAAATCAACAAATGATCCGAAAGTCGAAAAGATGAATATAGTCCTCTGACTTCACAAACTTGGAAACAGTTGTGATGTTGCTTCGCTGAGCTATAGATAACCGTACGACCATCAACAATGAGCAAAATTCACACCATATAGACATAGGTGCTTGAGGACAGGAGTCGAGATTCACATTGATAGTAAACATGCATATATTAAGAGTAAGAATATGGTATATTAGTATATATATGGTACAAATAAGTGATATATATTGAAAAATCTAAGATTTATGATAAGAAGGGGGAGGAACTATGGGGGGGGGGGGGGGGGGGCTCAAAACAGGATCCTGTCCTCAAGCACCTATGCATATAGAAAGCTGTAAATATAATAAAAGGCCTCGAAATGACAAATGTAAAACAAAAAAAACAAGAAGCCTAACATTTATAATAGAATTTAAAATAAAATTGAAAATAGAAATGGGGAATGTGTCAGAGAGACAACAACCCGCCCAAAGAGCAGATAACAGTCGAAGATCACCAATGTGACTTCAATGCAGCGAGAAAATCCCACAACCTGAGGCGTGCTTCAGCTGGCTCCTAAACAAAAATGTATACTAGTTCAGTGATAATGGACGTCATACTAAACTCCGAAATATATAAAAGAAACTAAAATTAAAAATCATACAAAACTGACAAATGCCACAGGCTCCTGACTTGGGACAGGTGCAAACATATGGTGGGGTGAAAAGCCTATATACTGTAAATTTCAGAAATTATTGCATGCATTTACTAATATTGCCAATTAACATATAATCAGTCAAGGATATAACTCTATAGCATGTATAGCATGTATAGGGTTATTACAGAAAAATAACATACATTTGTTATTGTGGACTAAAAAATCAAAGAACTGTGATAACATATGCATGTTACATGTTTCAAAGGGACAATATACATCATTAGTTTTCTTAAAATGTACACAGGTTCTATTGATATTACTATTGTCTTCATGTATACTTAACTATAGAAAGATATAACAGTTCATAGCTCGCCAATCATTCATAGTACACCTATGTTATTACTGAAAAAAATATGCCTATAATAACTAACGGGTGTTATTACAGCTCCTCTACATCATTCCTAAGCATTTGCTCAGACATTCATCATGCTTAATTACAATGTATTTTAATTTATTGTAAGAAATAATGATCAGAGCATGTAATGAGGTTCTGCGCAAGCTTCCCAGTAATTCCCAAGTGTCTTATATAACAAGTTAAATGCCTTTAATAACTAATATAAAAAAGAAGATGTGGTATGATTGCCAATGAGACAACTCCTCACAAGAGACCAAATGACACAGAAATTAACAACTATAGGTCACCCTACGGCCTTCAACAATGAGCAAAGCCCATACCGCACAGTCAGCTATAAAAGGCCTCGAAATGACAATGTAAAACCATTTAAACAAGAAAACTAACAGCCTAATTTATGTACGAAAAATGAACGAAAAACAAATATGTAATACATAAACAAGCCACAACCACTGAATTACAGGCTCCTGACTTGGGACAGACACATACATACAGAATGAGGCGGGGTTAAACATGTTAACAGGATCCCAACCCTCCCCCTAACCTGGGACATTGGTGTAACAGTACAACATAAGCCTTGTTATTACAGCTAAGTTGATCCCTTAAAAGCCTCGTTCATTGATTTGCCATGGTTAATGAAAAATGTATTAATTTAATTCAAAAATTAGTTATCAAGGCTATGCATTTAGTTTCTGCGCAAAGTTTCAAGAGTTCCCTAGAGCCTACCAAAAATCAAAATATTTATGATTTATTTTACAAATAACAAACATATGTTATAACAGATTTAGAAAATTTAAGGATTTAAGAGTAGACAACTCATGAAAGTATCTGTAATAACACATGCAAGTTTTTTTCTGTAATAACCCTATAGAGTTATATCCCTGACTGATAATCATGATAATTTCCCTTTCAATTTTTAAAAAATTCTGATTTAAGTTTTTGTTGTATATTGGGACTTTGGATAGTCTCAAGAATGCTTTCACCAATTGTTATGAAACTTTGGTGAATTGATTTTATATATTGACATAAACTCCCTTTTCATTTTTATGACCCATAGTGGGTCAACCCTTGACCGTCTAATTAAGTTTGCCTCAACCAAATGTTATAAAACTTTTACAAAAGCTTATTACCACAATACTCAGATCAAGTGTGGTGGTGTCAGTGTTACCGTTCTAGAGTTATGTCCCTTTACAAATGGAAAAATTGCTGAATTTTTGGTTTCCCGCTCTCTAACTTTAACTTTAGTTTGCCTCAACCAAATGTTATGAAATTTGCACACAATGCTTATTATCACAAAAAACAGTTTGAATTTTGGTGGTGTCACTTTTACTGTTCTAGAGTTATGTCCTTTACAAATGGAAAAAATGATGAATTTTTCGTTTCCGTCCTCTAAATTAAGTTTGCCTCAACCAAATTTTATTAAACTTTAACGCAATACTTTTTACCACAAAATCAGATCAAGTTCAAATTTAAGTAGAATAAATTTTACCGTTCTTAGTAATCTTCCTTTATAACTTTATATGATATGCAAGCCGGAGTATCATCCCCTATTTATTTTTATATAAGATGCAGAGTTATGGAATTTTAGTTGTTGGAAAATTGTTTTAAATTGTCCATTTTCACACTTTGGAAGGTTTTAGAATTGTATTTGTTCAAAAATCACGGCCTTAAACTTATATACACTTGCAATATCCCTAAATGGAGCCAAATTATTTTCATGTTTTGTTTCAATGTATACCACTGTGTGCATGTCCTTTTTTAGCTCACCTGGCTCGAAAGGCCAAGTGAGCTTTTCTCTTCACTTGTCATCTGTCGTCGTCCGTCGCCGTTGTTAACTTTTTACATTTTGAACTTCTTCTAGAGAACCACTGAATGGAATGGAATTAAACATGGCATGAATGTTCCTTATGAGGTGCTGACCAAGAGTTGTTACTTGATCCAAGATGGCCGGCAGCGGGGGACTTAGTTTAAGATAGGACCCTATAGGAAATACATACAAATGTCTTCTTTTAGAGAACCACTGAATGGAATGAAACCAAACATAGCATGAATGTTCCTTATAAGGTGTTGACCAAGTGTTGTTACTCTGTAGCCGATCCATCATCCAAGATGGCCGCCAGCGAAGAACGACAATATTAAACCAAATATGGCCTCAATCATTATTAAAGTATGTGTTATGATTTTTATCTTTTTTATATGATTTCAAAAACCCAAATAGAGTCAGGTGAGCGACACAGGCTCTTTAGAGCCTGTAGTTTTTTTTAGGGGGGGGGGGGGGGGGGGGGGGGGGGTCTTAGTTGCGCAGTGCTCACAGTTTTTCTATAATGATTAATGTAGTTGATCATTAAAATTCGTTTAAAGCATAAACCCAAGCTAAAAGGACAACAAGCTTATCAAGCACTCATGGTACAGCTTTTTATTAAACACGCATTGATATATACATTAAACAGCAAAATGATTATTGATGCAAGATGTCATTAAATAATAATTTTTACTCTTTTTATGTGTAGGACAAGAACTATAGAAGATACAGAGAAATTATAAACAGCAGAAATGATAGGCAATTTAAAATTTGCAGAAGTCAACAAATCCTAAATGGTAAGTAAACTCATCATAGATACCAGGATTAAATTTTGTATTTACGCCAGACGCACGTTTCGTCTACAAAACACTCATCAGTGATGCTCGATAAGACTCATAAGGCCACTTTTATAAAAATTATTGCCCTTGAAGAAAGATGATTATCATGATTATTATAAAAATAAAAAGATGTGGTATATTAAATATGAAAACTATTGATCATGGCTCTAAGAAAGCAATTATAGGCCAGAGACGGCCTTCAATAATGAGAAAATCCATGCCCTATTGTCAAAGTAGTCATAATAAAAGGCTCTCAGATGAAAAATTGAAATAATCCCAACTGTAGAACTAATTGCCTAGTTTATAACAAAACAAATTAAAAAAAATAAATATGACAGAAATGAAACAACAACAACCACTAAATTTTAGTGTCAGAATAAACTACAGGCTCCGAACTTGGGACAGGCACAATCAGAATATGGCAAGGTTATATAAAAATAAGAAGATGTGGCATGATTGTCAATAAGACAACTCTTCACCAGACAAGAAATGACATACGGGTAGATTTCCTGCAAAAAAATAAACAGTCCGGACTGAGCAGGAAATTTATACCTTTCCCTTAATCGAAAAGACACAAAGATCTGTTAGTACTCACAGTTACTGACAGCTAGTTAAAAATCAATAAAAACTAATACATGTAATAAAAAAATCAGGTTTGTGAGCACTCAACCCTACCTTAACTTTGGACAGTGGTTTAACAGCTCAACATATAAAGAACAAACTGTAAAATAACCGTTGCAATTGCCTCAACTCAAAAGATTGATGAAATGCACAAAATCAACAAATATAAAAACCCATAGACAAAAAGCACGGAATTGAGAGAACTCACAAGTAAGAGAGGAAATATTCTTAAAATGTTCATTAACAGGACAAAATAAGCTTTTTTATTGCTGTTTCTCTCTCCATTTATAACATTTAATTTGTTTATTTTGTGTATTTATAGGTGATCAGACATCTTGGTTTTCATGATCAATAGGTCAATACTGAAGAGGACACTGAAAGTTGATATCTATCTACATGGTGCGCTAATTGGATTAATGTGAAATGGAATGTGTGCTTGCCTGCAAAAAAGAAATAGGAAATTTCATCATAATCACATGATAATGGCTATAAACAAAATGGAGTTCTATCATAGATGCAGAAATTCACAATTGTATACATGTAAATGCAACAACATATTATATATATTTGTCGAAAGAAGGGAGAAATGAAGAGAAGATAGTATTTTGTTGTTGAAAGGAACACAAGCTTTATCCACTCATTACATCCTCTCCTCATATCAAATATACTGAAGAAGATCTTCGAAGAACAAATTGCAAAAATGTTTTCTCTAAGAATTGAAGGAAATTGTTTATCATGTTTATTGAATGGAATAATTTATGCATTGAACTTTTACGTAGTGGATTGAATAACTGTACACACATGACACAGCAGCTGAAACAGAGGAAAATTAAAATTTACAGGAAAAGTGTTTATTTTATTATTTAATTTGCAAATATGAACGCATTCTTAAGAACACCACAAATGGTATGACATTCAAATTGGTTGCTTATTAATGTATACAATTGAAACAATAACAAAGAAAACAGAATACTTTGCTACAAAAAATATTTTATAAATCAAAGTTAAAGTCATATAAAGTATGTACAATACCTTGACCTAAACAGTCAGACTCACTGTATTGTTTTTGTATGTCATGATAATTTTGAGGCAAAAATTTATTAAAGTTTTAAATATCATTTGTATCATTTATTAAGTCTTGTAAACATTATGTTCATACTGTTTGTATAGTGAAGAAATTTACAATGAGTAAAAATAGGGGAAACCATTTCCTACAGGGAAAGTTGATGTACAGAAATTTCCTTTGAGGAAATTTGGAGAATAATGTTTTCCTTAGAGGAAATTTGTGGTATTGAATTTTCCCTCAAGGAAAAGTGTTTGTTAAAAATTTCCTCAAAGGAAATTGCAGTTGACAAAATTTCCTCACAGGAAAAAGTATTTCCTCAAAGGAAAATTTGAAGCTGCAAATTTCCTCAGAGGAAAATTTGAAGCTGCAAATTTCCTCAGAGGAAATAGAATTTCCTCAAAGGAAAATTTGAAGCCGCAAATTTCCTCAGAGGAAATAGAATTTCCTCAGAGGAAATATTAATGCAGCAAATTCCCTAAGGGAAATCTTTTTCCCTTGAGGAAAATACAATTTCCCTTAAGGAAAAATCTTTTTCCTTTAGGGAAATTTGATTTCCCTTGAGGAAAACTACTTTTCCTCTGAGGAAATTGTTGAAAAAAGGGGCATAACTTTTTCAACAGTGGTGCTAGAGCCAGAAATTTTTAGGACAAATATCAGGGAACCAATACCAACCAAGTTATCAACTTCATTTTGACTTAACTCCAAAAATTAAGGTGACAACTTTTGCACTCAGCGGAAGTGCAAACTTGTCCCGGAGACTGTTATTAACCTGCTATATTTTCAAGAGGGCCGATCCAAATGCTGTGCCTGATCTTTAATTACACTTCCCAAGCTAAATGTTTGCATAACAGGAAGACTGCTTGTCATCCTAACCGGAATTATTTTCTAACTCCGAAACGTCCAGCACGCTACCACTAAATTGTCTACAGAGACGTACATACAGTTTGAGTCATTTGCGATTATGATTCAGATAAACGACATACAAATGTCAATAATGTTGTTTAATCCCGCCCAATACTATTCTGTGTCTGTTCCAAGTTAGAAGTCTGTAAATCAGTGGCAGTTGTTGCTTGCTATCTGTTACATTTGATTGTGTTTTGTTGTGTAAAAATAAATCTGGCCGTTGTTTTTTCCGTTTGAATTATTAGATCGGGCCAGTTATAGCTTACTTTACGGTATGGGTTTTGCTATTTGTTGAAGGCCATACGGCGACCTATTGTTTGTCACTTCAACTTCAGTTGGTCTCTGGCAGATATAGTTGTCTCATTGGCAATCATGATATACATATATATCTTGATATTTTTTTCATATTGTTGCAAACTAAAAGTACACATATGATTGAACATGTGATACCGCAAATTTTGATAAAGTTGGAAGGATATTTCGCAAATGCCCTTATGTAACGAAATTCACTGGAGATTGCATTTGAAATTCTATATCAAACGTTACCCGTGTTTTCATATCCGCACCATATTAGTTATAGATGGGGCTTATAAGTACACCAAATGAAGTCCGTGTAGTTTTACTATTGTACATCACTTATATAAATCTACCATTTTTGCACTTCGAAAAATATTCTAAAGCGATAATGGAGGCCAAAATATGAAGATAATAAATATTACACATTAACGTTAAATCAAATCATAACATATCATGATCAGATGATAAAAGATATTTTTATACTAATAACTAAAGCACTATACAAATCAGCATATAATGAAATGTTTATAAAAATGTACGGGACAATTACATTGTACACGGAAAATATAAAAAGAAATAAACACCAGCAACCCCTTTGGAAATTGAATTTATTTCAAAATTATAGTATATATCTATAAATATACAAATAGTGGTTGGTTTTACCTGAACAAAGAGGATACACATGTCCTTCAACTTTTAAAAACATTTTATTTAAACATTGTGGATGGTATTGAGAGATAAAAATAAAACAACAAGTTACTGTTTTAAACCAAGGATTAATTTTGTATAGTACTATACAAATCCTTGTTTTAACCAGGAAACACGAATTAAAAAGATGTTATTTTCATCAATTGGAAATTACTATGACGCAAATGAAATAATTCATTCCTAATTAACAAAAAGAACCTTTCCGTATTGTGAATCGACAAATGATATTTAATTGTATCAATATAAGCAGAGAAAGTATTTTTTTAATTTGAATTGAAGTCAGCATCTCTACTTAAAACGTTTGCTCTCTTTTATGTTGATATATGGCTGCTTTTGGACTATGAATATGGTCAAATTTTAACCTGCAGTCAAATATTACGCGTTATTAATTCGCCCAAGTTTAGATCATGGTTACTACTTTAGCTGCAATCACTATACACAATGAAAGGGTACATTTTAAGAAGTGTAGCAGTCACTCACATAATTGTAATCACTCGATATTTCTAGTATATTATACTAGAAATATTTATGCAAACGTTCGAGTTAAAATAGCAGATACTAAGAGGTTAAATAGAGACATCTCCGGGGATACGTATTTGGGAAAAAGGCGCTTTAGGATGTAAATTGAATGGGGAAAAAGAGCACTTAAGGGCTTAAACTAATAGAGAAAAGAGCACTTCAATATTAGGTTAGCATCATAATGTTAATTCTTCATATGTTTGATAAATGGGCATTCTCATATGGTTGTGGCCTGTTATCTATTTCTTGCACGAAGAGATATTTCTCGTATCACACTGCACGGAGTGTGATACGAAAAAGTGATACGAAAATATGCGTTAATTTGATTGGCTTATTCAGCATCATGAGACGATTTAACGACATTTCCATTGGCTGATCATTAGGTCAATGATAGGTTGGTTCCCTCCGTAAAATATTCAGTTTGCCTTCGGAATATACAAATATTAACGGTCGGTATGAGTTAATGATGACCTTGAACTTGAACGTTTCGGTTCCCGGTTTGTCGAACGTCGACATACGGTACCATTTGAAAATGGCGTTAAACGTCTGAAGTCGCATGTCGGTTCTTGATGGAAACATATACCAAACTCACTGACTCTTAATTTAATAACAGGGGGAAATATGCTATAAACACGAAGAAAAATAGATTGTCGACTGTTTTCGTCATTCCATAATGCATATCCATGAACCTGTTCCCATGAAATGTACAGGCTTAGGCACATGCACTTGTTTCTATCCATGGGAAGGTCGACTATCCATATGTAATATATATTAACTATTGGATAAATAGATGAACTATTGGACAATGAAAAGTTGCAAATAATTTTGGACATCACACCGGTAGCAACATCAAGGAAACTCTCTCCAGCCAATGTAGCAAAAGTAGAACGCCTAACTAGACGCTTGATATACCAGCTACATATAGCCCGTTACAAGATTGTATGCGGATGATAACCATGATAATGACTTTAAAAGGGAAAATGAATCACTTCCATAGAAGAAACAATATCTTTGCCGCAAAACTTTTTAATTCTCCTATACTAGTCAACTTATAGGGTGAAAATAAGTAACATATTTTACTCTGTACATGTACATACTAGTGGTGACATCTTATTAAAGTGTGCCAGCTTATCTCGTAAATATTTTAAAATATATATAACCAACAGTATTTTAAGCAAAATATGGATTATATCACAAAAGGACTTTTTAGAAGAACCAAATATGACTTTTAGAAATTACTTTAAAATATATCTTTTAAATCACGAGCAAAAGGCACTCGTTCTTTCATTACATTACTGTGATATGAAAACAAATGATCTTATGGAATAATGTTGTTGGTACTTTATAGAAATGCGTTATACTTTTTAAAATACACTTAGCCACCAAACGGCTAGAGAAACCGAAACCAAATGTGATAAATATAGATTATAACATATTTTTCATATCAGACCCTTTATCAGCCCGAGAGCCGAAAGGCTCGAGGGATGATTTTGACCATGGGCTGATAAGGGGTCTGATATGAAAAATGACATGTTATGTTCTTTTTATCATATACTTCAGCAGAAGACATACAACAAAAACTATTTCCTTTAATTTTTTAATAATATATTTTTCCTGATTCCTAATATTTTTTTATCCAACTTTGTTATGTTTTACACACACAAAAAAAACGTACCATTGAGGTGTATTTTCCGGATTTGCCGAATGACGTCGAAATGTCACGTTACAGAAAAGCATGCGATAATAACCGGAAGCAGTTGATATAAAACGGAAGAAGTCACACGGTTAAAGCAATTCTTCAAAAATAATGAATAAATATATGTACAAATTAGTTTTATCATGGGGTACAGTTATACCATTATTTTCTATAAGTATATGATAAATGTCTATATAACAAAAGAAAGGAATTTTATAGTGACTTGACTTTTAATTATCGCACGATAAGCACCGGAACTTTTTAATCGTAAAACAAAGGATTTTTAATGTAAGTGTGTGTGTGGGTAGGATTTCACTGTATATGGAGAGCACTAAAACATATTCATATCCGATGGAGGCTTCACTGTACATAGATAATGCAGATCACAAGTTCTACATAGAAATGTATGGTTCCTCCATAAAGGGGGTTAACGATACAGAGGTAAGGTAAGGTAAGGATAGTCAACCAACCCATGGATAGAAACAAGTGCCTGTGGTCTTAGGCCTATAGGGCGACGATATTTATAGGGCTTGAGGGTACAACGTTAGGCTGTTGTTTGATATAAATGAGCGGGTGTCTCGTTTCGTAAATCGCGGTTATTTTGAAACTCTCTCTTTTATTTCTTAGATGACACATTCCACGTTTTACCCTGTTTTTTAACATTTAAATTTGAACTTAGAATGCATTTGCTTGTCAAATATATGCTGATTTTCTCCCAGGACTCAAAGAAATAACTACACTTTGTCGATTCAAATTCTAGAAACAATTTGTTTTGTCATAATTATGCACTGGCCATCCTCTTTTGTGATTTAAATATCTAAATGGTGTTGTTTGTTTTTTTAGGGAGATTACACTTTTTGATTTATATTTTTACAGAAGGGGAGTGAGAGAATAGTCTGTTCCTAGTATTGAAATAAGTAAAAACTCTC